TGCTTCAAAAAAATAATAATAAATATGTTCGTCCTTAATCAATGGGGTGATTCCAGGGCAAATGTATGTAGGTTTATCGGGATGACATGACCGCGGAGGAAGCGTTTTTTTTATTTTCATTTATTTTCCTATCAGAAATGCAAATGTTTCGGGTCGCAGCCGTTAAAAGAACAATGTCATCTGTTGCGAACTTTTGGGAACAGCCGAAACGAACGGTCACAGCAAAGCAATAATATAAATAAAGTCGTGCATATCTGGCAGAGCAGGTGTGTGGTTACGTCGCGAAATATGTACACGCATTTAGACTTCACATGCATGGAGATATTTTTTTTTTCCAGTCGGAAGAGAGGGTTCAACAACAATTTACGTATGCTAGTGCGTGTTTTTGTTTGTGTGCGTATACATATTGCCAGGCGCGCTCCTCTCTAACATTTTTTTTTTTTCAGATCACTAGCACTCGAGTAATCACTGCCATATCTGGCGAGAAATAGAGTTGTGCATCACCAATGCGCAAACCACGCCCGAAGTATACTGGGAAACTTCCAGATTATTTCGGAACTATCCGCCGAGCTTACGCGGCTAACGCGAACATCAGGGTTTAACAAGGAATTTGAGCGGCAGCTAGCGATAACGCTGGAATCTTCGATGACACCCGCATAAACGCCGACGCGCTCTACCGCTTGGCAGGTCACTCAACTGCCGACAAGTGTTACCGTTCCCGTCTCTTTTGGAACCATCCGACGAGATTACGCGGATAACACGAACATCAGGGTTTATCCCGGAATTTGAGCGGTCGCTAGCGATAACCCTGGAATCTTCGATGGCACACGTATAAATGCCGACGCGCTTTACCGCTTGGCAGGTCACTCAACGGCCGACAAGTGTTCCTGCTCCCGTCTCTATCAGTGCCCAGCAGCGTGTACGTATTTCTGAGTTTTCATTTTCCCGACATAAGTTCGGTCACAAACAAATAATTACGTATTTGCCAGTCTTGCCACTGCCATTTTCACCGTCGCAATCCCGTAGACTTCCTTTAAAAAAGGAAAAGGGGGCAGCACTTTAGCCTTCCTACTGGCTACGACAGCGCTACCACGAATACGATCTGCCAATGATGACCTACCAGAAGGCGTGCCTCTACATTATTCGAGAATAACTGTTGGTGTTTAACGTCCCAAAGCCGCGACACGATTATGAGAGAAGTCGTATAGTGGAGGGCTCCAGAAATTTGGAGCACCAGCCGGGGGTTTTTCACCGCGCACCCAGATCTAAGCGCACGGGCCTCTACCATTCTCGCCTTCATCGAAAAGTGAGGCCGGGATTCGAACCCGCGAGCTTCGAGTCTGCAGCGAAGCGCCGTAACCACCGGACCATCGTGACGGGTGCCTGTAGTAAATTCTTTCAAGGCAGACCTACGCACTACGACGCTTCGAGTGTTAGTGAAGTTTAGACGTCAGTTTTCTGGGCAATCATTTAAACTCCAACCCCAAAAGTTTTTCAAGAAATCCGACGCTTCGGAACCGACTTGGTTCCTTCCTCAGGGGAAACAGAGTACGTATAGCAGCTTCAAGACTTCAAAGCACTCGCGGAGCTGTTAATGACCTCTCTCTCTCTCGTTTTCGCAAGATGTCCATTTTAAATGCTAAACATTTTTTAGCGAACTTTGGCGACCTTGAGCGTATTTGTCTTTCTATCTAGCCGGCTACGACTTTTAGCTCTACTGGCCGTTTCGATAATGGCGTCGATACCACAATTGGTATGGCATAACATGACTGTATGACGAGCGTAAGTGACTGGTCTTAACAAAATATCATGACATGTATGTCATGATTTACATTTCATTGTCTTGCTGCTGCTCTTGCGGTGGTTTCGCACACATGACATGTAAAACTGGTATGGTATGACTGAATGGCAAACACCAGTTACAGACCCTACACCGTGAGAATCGTGACATGCCTGTCATGCAAGAACTTGACTACATGCCACTCTCGTGATGCGCTCGCGGCAGTTTCGCGAGCTTAACATATGCCAAATTCGGTATTACGTGACGCCAATGGCTGACGAAAGTATGTGACTAATGCAAACATAAGATATTCACGAGATGCGAGACATGTAACATGGCTATACGTGCCACGCTCATGATGCGCTTGCGGCAGATTCGCTAGCTCCACATACACCTCATTTCACAACCATCATACCACTCATCGCGCATTGATCATCAGCATAAGGTTGCCATTCCGTTTTGCCGCACCAAATTCTTTTCAGCAGCCTTCTTACCGAAAACAGCCGCCGATTGGAACCACCTTCCCTCTTCCGTTGTATCAATAACAGACCCTTTGTTATTCAAGACTGCAATTTCTCAGCAATGCTTGTAACTATACGCAGTTTCCATTATCTATCTTTGTCTTGTATGTGCTTGAATTCTTATACATTTTTAGTTGACTTCTGTTGCCTTCCTGATTTGCGCATCTGATACTTGTTTCTTTATTTTGTCTTTTTTTCTTGTGTGTTATATATGTTGTACCCACCCCCTCTGTAATGCCCTACGGGCCCTGAGGGTATTCTAATAAATAAATAAATAAATTTCGTATCACGCCACGTGAATAGACGACGAAGGTAAAAACGGCACGTCGGAACATGACATAGAAGTCATGTACGACATAATTTACGTTCGCCTCGTAAGGTCGCGCCGATTTTAATGTGATATATCAACCTTCCTCATTCGTGCATCGCATATTAACGATTGCCACTATACGTGGGTTCTGCCATTTTTGTGCGCCACAGCTATAGTTCGTTTTATTCACGTTGGCGCCGCGCCTTCCGTGTTGGCTTTTTTTGTCTTTAACGTTTCACGGTGCGAGCGCGACAAGCGGATGACACATTCCACGTGCCGATGCGTACGTTGCACATTCGTAAGCGACAACACGGTGGCAAAAAAAAAAAAATGAAGATACACTCTCTTTCCTTTACGTATGGTACGAAGCGGCCGGCCCACAATAGCGATATTTCACTACGGTTGCGACACAAACATGGGCCACACGCGACGCATGCCAAAGGCGCTAAAACAACGATTCGGAGAAACTTGCCAAACGTAGCAGTAACTTCACCGGCGCTGTGTCAAATGTATCTAATAAAACTGACCCCGAAACCTGCGGGGCCGCAGCAAAACTAAACTAAGCACACAAAACCGGCACCGGATGAAACCGTTTCGTACGCCCTCGATACAGGCCTTGTCCTGTATCGTACGCGAAATCAAAGCCACCTAGCAGACGACATGGCACGACGTCTGCGACCTCGAAATTTCTCGACACCAAAAGAAAGAAAAGAACAGCAAAGCTACGACAGCACTGGTTTTTTTTTTTTTTTTTCGCAAAGGAACTAATGGATGAGATACATATACCGTCCGCTATGCGATTGTAATCCGGTTAATTCGCAAGCGCAACAGTGATCAAAAGAATCACAGAAAAAAAATATATATGAAGCATCGAAACTTGAACATGTGGGCATCGTATAATAAATGTAAGAACAGACATACAAGGTCCGACGAAACAAAACGCACAGCAATGACTTTCAACAGCTTGCCAAATAATATCTGGGGCTTAACGTCCCTAAATCACGATATGATTATGAGAAGTGACGTAGTGGAGGGCTCCGTAAATTTCGACCAACTGGTGTTCCGTGCGCTGACGTCGCAGTCACACTTAAGTCAGTGCTGTCCGTTTTATTAATAGGTCCTAGCCTGCTGTGCCGTTCCTACATTCATTAGGAAGAAAAAGAACGCCTCTGCTTTGTCTAGCATTCCGCAACTGCGAAAGACGAATCACCCTCGAAGTGACGCGATTGCGCTTGTGGCGCAAGCATTTCACACACACACACACAAGAGGCAAGCGGGTCATTGCGCTCACGATCGGCCGAACGTCAGAAAAGAAATGTAGCAGGCACGGAAATCATGAACGCGGGCACCACTCGTGGTGGTAAGCAAAATAAAACTCTCTCCAAAGCACGCGAGTTGATACATACCGCCCGCATGACTCAGGGGGGTGAGGGAGGGCGGGAAAAGAATGACAGATCTACGCCGCCTCGCACAATCACTGCCGGTAAACAGACTTCACGAGACTGCCTTTTCATGAGGAGGATCGCATCCAAACGCGCGATTTCGGGCGTGAAGTTGCCGGAATTCGAGAAAGCGACCGGTGCGAACAATGTGATCGCTGACGAGGCGGGCGAAAGCGCGAAAAAACAAGCTCCGTACGCGCGGTCAGTTTAATGCCCCAAAGTGAAGCTGGCAAGCCCCGTGCCGGCACATTTTAGGCAGTGCCGAAGGGCAGTGAGCTGGAATCGCGAAAAGAAAAAAGGAAAACAAGCGTTCGGCCAAGACGTTGCAGCCGATGTGTCGGCCGCCGCTTCAAGCGAAGCGCCGACGGAGAAAAAGAAAGCAAAAAAGAACACCACGCCCATCTGAGCGCGGCGCCGGCTGCCAAATCACGGCGACAAATCCAAGGGTGCACTTGTGCGGCGGTGATTGCGTCGGGGGCGCGCCACTCCGAGGCACATAGATCGGTTTGTTCTTCGAGCGCTAGCGCGACGACCACGAACGCCGGCGCAACAACCTAGGCCTGGTGGCCCGCCCAAAAACCCACTTTCACCCCCCTCTTGCACGCCTCTTTCGCGGAGCCGGCGCGCGTCGCATGCGTGGCTGCTGTCCCACTAACTTCGCGCGAGCTCTGCGAAGAATCAACGAGGAGGCGGCGGCCGTGTGGGTTACGGCACAGGTCGCGTAGTGCCCGATCGCGTACGGACGCACGATAGGGCGTGGAATTTGCGCGACGGCTCGCCCAACAGCCAAGGACGCCGAGCCTGAAGGAAAGTGACCACCACCGCCGCTGCTAAAGAAGGGACCGGGCACACAGGGGAGAGGGTGGGGAGGAGACGATCTCGCACGCACGGACGGTTTGAAAGGCCCGTGTTTCCGTCGGGCTTCGCCGGGTAATCCGGAGACTCACCCGTTGAAGATGGCTAGTAGATGAAGCAGCCAGACAAACCACCAGCCGGCGAAGAAGATGATGGCAAACCCGTAGAGCGTGTAAAACAGGAGAGCCATCTTTGAGACGCCGCCGCGGGCAGCAGCGGCTGATGCTCGGCGACGGGCGCTGGTGGCGTCACCACGGGTCGGTGACGTCTGCGTCGACGCGTATTCCGGATCCGCTACCTCAAGTGCTGGAGTAAGTCGAACGTTAACTGCGTCACTTCCTGTCTGGCGTCGGTGTGTTGAGCAGCGCCGCGTTGCCCGTCGTCTCCCTGAGCGGTGTGCGGCGAGCCGTAGCAGACGACGTTTTCTCCGGGAGCAGTGGTGGTGGTAGCGGTGCCGGCATAGCGCTGACCCGCTACAGCGTGCAGCGGCGTTAGTTTTATGCGCGCCGATAACGGGCGGGCCCAGATAAGTACGAGCCCGACGTCCAATGGGCGACTGGGCCGGTCACGACGACGACTCGTCGGCGGCAGCCACCACCTAGCCGCCGCAGCGACGTGCTCGCTGTAGGGGCGCATCGTGGATCTTCGTCGTCTCAGCCCCGTTGCGCATCGTCTGGCAGCATGAACGCGACGCGCGTGGTGCGGCGCACTCGGCGGACGAGGCGACCGAGCCGTCGCCGCCCCTGAGCACACCCGAGGCCTAGCGTTCCGATCCCCCTGGGGACGGTCGCGGTGGGGCAGTGCCGGATTTCAACCGCAACGTCGCATGCGGTTCTGTGGCAGTCTATCTTGCCGGTTGAGATGTCGTCCGCGTCGCAGGCCCAGGCACGGATTAGGAGACACACGGCGGCGGTGGTTCACGTGTTGCGGTGTTCGAAACATCTGCCGGGTGGAAGCCCCCTCTGGGTGGCTACTCCGCATACTCGATGTAGAAGACGACGAGCGGCATGTTTGAACGTGCCGATTCCTACCTCATTGTGGGTGTGCCCCACTACATCTAATGTACAGTGTCTAGAAATACACTGTACTAATCTCAATAACGCATGTTGCCAGTGTATTTCAGTTTGTTGATATTACCAGTTATTCTTTTTTTTTTTTCTGCTAAGCACTGCCAGGTTTCGCGCGTGTGCAGCCGATAACTGATTCTAGCTGTCACGTAACTTTAGGTTAGGGGTAAGACATTTCAACGCGCGTCAATGATCCTTTTCAACATTTTTGCTCGCGAAGCTGCCGTTCTGAGACAAATAGTCGTCTTGTAAGTGTTTAACCTGTAGTTGCTCTTTCTGAAGTTCTACCGAGTGCTGAGCGTAAAAACCAAATTTAGTGTGGTACCAACCGAGTCGTAGAGTATCCGGTGACAGAGCTAGTAATTAATCCACACATATTCCTGCCCATTCCAAAACTTCACTCGGCGCAGTATGCAACAATTCTTGTGGGGTGCACTTCCAATAAACCGACATGACTGCCAGTATCGCACTGTCTCCTTGCTGTCTCCACAAAAGATATCAGTGTCGTCGCCTACCGCAGGAAAAAAAAACGAGTTCATCGTGCCCATTACACTGCTAATATTGTTGGCTGATAAGATAATTGTGGAGGCTCAAGCACGGAAAATATATATATAGATAAGCGCGTTTATACGTGACGTCCCCCATAAAGTACTTATAGCGCAAGATCGAGTGTGCTTCCGGTCTCAACGGGAAGCATATATCATCTTTCCATCGTCTATACATACAGAAAGTATTCACGTGACGTCAAGGTGCGCAATATTACTGTACGGTTCGCAGTTTCTAACGGTGTTTCTAGACACCCTAGCCGTGCTGCCGGAAATGAACAGATTGAGGTACAGCGCGACTCTCTACATGTGCCAGCCGTTGAACAAAATGGCGGTAACCAGGACGTCAGCGCGTACTTTCCACGTCCGGTGACGTCAGCACGTGACGTCGTCACCGGCGCAATCTGACGTGCATCGCGTGCACATGCAGGTGGCACTTACTTGAGGAGCTCTCGGTTTATACATTCTTTTGTCGAAGGATCAGCTGATATAGAAAACATTGTCTTTGATTACTTCATGCATATCAATTAGAACAGCTGTTGATGCGGGAAAGGAAAAAAAAGACAATCACCTTGGAGGTTTCCGCAGAACTCATTTGCATTAGCTGTTGATTCATTGGCACACGATGAGCTATTCTATTCATGCCAGAGATTGTACGTGTACAATCAGAGGCAAAAGTTGAAAGACCTCGATGTTTGACGAAACCTATCATTTCTCAGCAATCGGTGACTGTGTTTGATTCCTCTTGTTTTTTTTTTTTTTCACTCTCTTTCACGGTCAATTGACGTTTTTACGTATATCGCAATATATAGCGATATATATTATATACAGTCACAACTGTGCATATATCATGCATGGCTCTACTGGTATTATCGTTTTTTCTTCTTATCATTCTTTGCTTCTTTCTTGGTATATTGAACATCATTAGGGAGTTTAAAGAAATAGCGTCAAAGCCACTGCGCATGCGCAAAAGCCAAACTGCGTTTTTGTTTTGGGTTAGGGACGCTATTTCTCGAATTTAGCGGGAGCCCCAAAGCCTGCCCCAAAAGTTTTGGGTCAGACATACGAGACGGCTCTCTGCCAAGACTAGAGTGACGCAGAATAGGGTGAGTGTCCAAAGCGCCGTAGACACTATTCCAAAACTCATCGCTCGTGCTTGACCCAAAGCCTCCACACGCGCAGGGTTTTGGGGCCCCTATTTGAAAACTCCCTTATATGATGCTACTGGGCGAGCCGGCACTGACCTGGCATATCTTCCCACGTTTTCATATACAAATTGAAAATAATAATAATAATGGAGTCGCATATTATGGTACCGAGTGCACATATGTGTTGGCACGTTTCCGTATACTCAAGCGACTGCGCGATTTCGTGCTAAACAACAACAAAGAACGCGGGCACTTCTTCCTTGCACTTGGCATCAAGCTGATAAAGCCTGAAGATTTACGGCGCATTGCCCGTAGACACTGCAGAAAAACATATGTGGGTACCAAAAAAATTATTTTCGGTCTTTGTGCGTAAGAAACAACTTTTACAGTGCCCATTGTGCTGTCCCGCTGGAAGCACCAGATAAAGGTGGTAATTATATCTCAACGCGTTTTATCTTGTTCTTTCTTTTTCTGTTTCAATCGAACACTAACACAAAACAAGTACACACTGATAAATATTTCCGTGAGACATTTACTTTAATCTATTGCCCTATCATGTTCTGATTACTAGGAAGTCGTCGAAGTTTTATTATTATTATTATTATTATTATTATTATTATTATTATTATTATTATTATTATTATTATTATTATTATTATTATTATTATTATTATTATCTTGCCTCAATTTCAAATCTTTTTGTTGTTATTGAACAGTAACACCTAGAAAGTTATGACTGATAAATCTTCGTTTGAAAAATCTATTTGAATTCATTTCTCAGTCATATGTTCATTAATAGGAGAAGGTCAAAGCTTTTTATTCGAGCAGGGAGGTGCTGTTGTGGTCGCCCTTGGCTGTGTCGTAAATACAACAATATAACCATCAACAACCGGCATGCGGTCTCGAAGAGAAGCTAACCAAGTTCTGCGCCACTTTGTGCAAGCTGCGCTAATTTTGAGATGCAAAGCATTTTATGAGCGAGCTTGATCCGTTGGCGTCCGCGCTACACTGCGCATGCGCCTACTCTCTCTCCCACTCTCCTCTCCTACGCTCATCCCCCCCCCCACATCTTCGCCTCGCAACGCCCGTGCCGGCAGAGTCTGCTAACGAGACTCTTCATTGAGAATAAAAAAAAAAATTGCTCGTGCTGCACATCCGTTCGTTGGCCACCCCGTATAGGCACTGGATGTTGACCTCCGAGGTAGTGCCGGCCATAGAGTTTTCTAATGTACCCTAGAGAGAGCTCTGGCAACGCACGGCGCTTCAGAGAGCATGGGAATGATGGGTAGTACACACATTTGTCTAATCATCGTACTTCTGGCCTTCTTTTGGCTCCGTGTGTGCTCGTGTGGCTTGGAGTTCTTTTCAGTGGTTGCGTTTCACAACTTTATTCTTTTAGACTTGCCTTTCCAAATCGGGTCACGAAGTTCAAAAGGTTTGAATCTTTCTTTCAAAACAAAACCGAAACACCGCAATAAACGCCGCCGCAAGTACGATTCGCCACCTGCAAGTACGAAGACTCGGCAAATGTGTGTACTACCCATCATTCCCATGGTCGCCGAACGATCGCAGCTACACAGTCCCCTCTAGTTAATTTTAGGAAACTCTAACCTGCCGGCGGGAGATTTCTCCCGTGCGTTGTTGAATAATCGAAATTCACAGCGTGCGCGTTAACTAAAAGCATATTGCAGGTCTCTGTGTCTAATTGTAGTCTTCTGTCTCTCACTGGCTGTTAGCAGCGTTTGGCATGTTCCAATAGGAAACACCGGTCTATCACTGCATGCTTTGCGCCTCTCCAGGTTTTCACTCCGGTTGTGCCCACGCGATCTCCGACGTCAGCGTAGCTCTGGCCGACTGGGCTGGCCCTACGTCATCTCCTGACGCCGATCTCCGACGACAGCGTAGCTCTGACCTACTGGACTTGCCCTACGCTGACGCGAAGTGATAGGGCGCGCTGCTACGCATCTACACATGGTTCTCTTTTGCGAGAGATGATGTAATTTCTTATTTAACCACACTAGTAAGACTGAGCACTGGAAACGAGTTGATTCCATCGCGAGCGCTGACGGACCACAAGATAGAAGAAATGGCAGCAAGCACGAGAGGAGAAATAGGGAAGACGGACTAGTAGCAGGCCTTAATAGCGTCTTCAGTGTAAATAATAGCCTTTTTTAACTACCTCAAAGGGATGGAGTTCTTCCGCGCCTGCTATGTGCCATTTCCCACACGGAGCTAGCATAAAAATCCGCAATACTGCATATGTTTCGATAAACATATCGAAACATATATGGCGGTATATATTATGCAGTCAATTAAATATGGAAACAAAAGATATGGCGAAACCTGTGACGTCCGACCGACAACTCCATGCTTAAGTTTTGGCGCGAAACTCAAATGTGATGCCACAACCTTTCATTTTCTCTTCTCGAAACGGACCTGAAATGAGGACAAAGTGTAAAAAATTAAGCCACAACCACACGTACGTGTTGCGGCACGGCAGTCTCCTTATGAAGGGAGAGGCTGCGCAGCCTCGTACATGGCCTGCCCGCAGTCTCTCACGTCGTGCTCCCGCAATCTCGGAGGTCATGCCTCGTACAGCTGCACGCCTTGTTCTTCCTCAAGAGGGCGCGCCTGCGCACCAACGCGCTGCGACGCATACGTGCGGTTCGGGTTTTAGGGACAGCTTAACAAATACCCGGTAATCAAAAATATTTCGGAGTACCTAACTAGGCCTG